TAGTTTTTTATCGAATAAAGTATGATACCACTCAACTCTTGACTTAATAAATTTATCTATTTTTTTTTTTTTTGTTTTTTTTGAAGTTTCCTAAATGTCTTTTTTTTTTTTTCTTAAAAAGTACATATATAAGTATATACATCAATTATCCAATAACTAATGTACTTTCGCCATCAAAATCATATTCAGGAATTTCAAGATTAAGTGGGGCAGGACCCTTTCGAATTCTACCAGATATATCATAATGGGAACCATGGCACGGGCAGTACCAGCCTCCATAATCACCAGCTTCACCAATTGGAACACAACCTATAAAAGCAATATATATGCGTAAGTTTGAAAGATCAAAACTATTATCGTTATATTTCATGCTAATTCATAATAATAATAATGTATTACCTAAGTGTGTACATACACCCTACAAAAAAAAAAAAAAAAAGAATGTGGTTAAATAATCAGGGGATGTAATTAAATTATCGTAGGAGGGATAATATTAGACAATAAACATAATTGACAATCATAAATCAAAACTTACGAGCATAACTAGCCATTCAGGTTTTTTAACCCTGTCAGAATCACTCTGAGGATCTCTAAGTTCACTTAACTGAGCTGCATTCGCATCAGCAATTTCGCTAGCAGTTCTATGCCTAATAAAAACAGGTTTACCACGCCATTTTATAACGACATTTTTACCCTCAGGAATCTTTGTTAAATCTACTTCAACTTTAGCCAAAGCTAAAATATCAGCAGATGCACTCATATTTACGAGAAAATCAGTAATGGAATTTTTAGCACCAACAGCTGTCAAAGCGCCAGTAGTTCCAACCATCAAATAAGTAAATGCACGAGAAGTATTTTCATCAGAATTCTTTCGATATTTAGAAAAATCAGGGACTATAGTTGATTTACTAGAATCTACAGCGGTGGATGAAGAAGATAAGCGCCTCTGAGAAATACCAGTTGAGGGGGCAGCTTAAAATTAATTGAGGAATTGTTAGTTAATAAGTAAATCGCGTAACATATAATTGCAGGGAAAATTTCATGTTGTTTATATAAAATCGAAGATTAATAATTTAAGATGAATATAAGATAATTAACAGTTTACCATTTAAAATGGATTTTGAAAGGATCGAACCGTCAGATCGTCGTTTGGCTCCAACGATCAAAGAGTTAGGGGAAACATGAAAGTCATGGCGAAATTTATTGGAGGATTCAAATAACTTTTTAATGGCAACCGCAGTACAAGGAGCATTAATAAAAGTGCGATTTAACGCAGCGGTGGCAAGCCTCGGTGAAACAGCCATAGTTAATATGCACGAACGAAAAAAGAGCGATTAAAATTTCTAAGTCCCAACAGGAATTACGTAATACCAATATTAGGAATATCGATATTTGCTTTTTTGATAATCTACAAATTTATTTACCATAAAAATCACGATATAACGATAATCGTATATATATTTATAAGCTTTTTAGAACAATATTCCAAGCTTCGTTTAATTAATAGCACACCATAAAAGACTCGATATTTGAATATTACTAAAGTTTCGTATTTGTTATTCGTATAACAGATAACATCGATTTTCAACGATTTTATTTTTAGGGGTCTTTTTTCGATAAACAGTTACACGAACTTTTGCACTAAGTGACGTGAGAATAACATTCTGTATGAGATAAATACTAAAATGCAGCTAAAGAAAGCACTATCACTAGTTGTTGAAGCGTTCAGATATTTTCGGGTATTGAACGATCGGTTGTGGAATGGGTAAGGGTGAATTCGGAGGGGCAAACGGCCTTTTTAACTAAGTAAAAACTTTATAATAACTTTTTAACGACAAATAATTCTCAATCATGATTGGGCATCATGTGAAACTTTGATTAAATCATGATTGGCTAATTTTGGGCATCATGTGAAACTTCGATTAAATCATGATTGGCTAATTTTGGGGCATCATGTGAAACTTCGAAACGTTCTTTAAAGTTCCGAAGGGATAGATTAGTGGAGCAACCAAAACTCAGTAGATCGAACAAAATTTAGGGTCGGAATATGGTCGGAATAGGGTCGGAATAGGCCCGGAGCTAGGGCGGCATTAAGAAATAATACAAGCCAACTATACTACAGCAAAATTATTATCTGGGCAGCTTTACTTACGTGAGCTACCATTTCATTAGTAAAATTTTGGGTGATTTGGGGAGAAATTTATCAATTCCGACCTGAATTTTGGTCGATCTGTTGAATTTTGGTTGTTCCACTAATCTATCCGTTCCGAAGTGTCGTTTAAAACTTTCGGATCTCTATGGATCAAATGTAAAAACGGAAAAAATATGAATTTTTTACTATATAGTTATTTTAGTCAATTTAATCAATTTAATCTAACTCTTACGGTTTAACCATAAAATTTTTTTTGCTAGCATGTTATTCATACTCTAAGGTAGTTATTTAAAATATAATCTCAAAATTAAGAGACTTTACTTAGAAGACAAACTTACTGTCCGTGTAAAGTTATACTGTAAAGTAAGATAATTGGAATGTTTTTCGCTTAAGACGTTAGATTCAATAAACTTTTATTACTAACTGTTTAGTTTGAATAAGTACAGGCTCTTTAGTGACGTTTAGATTTGTCGGTCTTTGTAGTGTGATGGGTTGGTTAACTGTAATTTTTAAATTTTTGGTTTATATATTACTGTATTAGTGATTGGAACCGGTTTGATTTTCATTAACCGGTTTCAAAAATCACAACCGAATAAAAATCGGTTATAATAATAATTCCTGAAACACCTGATAAAAATTAGCCGAATGATATTTCGTCCGATTCGGTTAAGTTAAAATTTCGGCATAATAGATTCAATAACAGATAAAGTTACAAAATTGTACGTATGCGTGTACGTACGTAACTTTT